AGCGGCAGCAACATTAATTTCTAATTTCTCCCTCTCCCTCTCTCTTTTTCTCTCTGTGTGTGTGTGCGCGTGTGCGTGCGCGTGTGCGTGTGCGTGTGTGTGTGCGTGTGTATCTGTGTGACCAAGGTCTGGCTTGATTTAATTTTTTATTACATTTATTTTTTATTTATATGTGATATATATGTATATATAGAGACAGAGAGAGAGAGACAGAGAGAGAGAGACAGAGAGAGAGAGATCAGAAGATATCTTCCAAGAGTGAGTTTTCTCTATTTACCATGTAGGTGCTGGGAGTTGAACTCAGGTCATCAGGCTTGGTGGGAGGCCCCTCCACCCACTGAGTTATTTTGCTGGAATTTTTTTATTTATTTATTTTAATTTTTTTTTGAGACAGAGGCTCACACTTGCTAGGTTGCCAAAGATGACTTTCAATTTGAATTTGAGATCCTCCTGCCTCCTCCTCCTGAGTGCTGTGATTACAAACACGCAACGCCACACCTGGTTTATAGGGTACTGGGGATGGGCCCAGGGATTTGTTCGAGGAAGGCAAGTACTCTATCACACGGGAGGTGGGTGGGGCAAGGGAGGGAGGGTCTTACTATGTAGCTCAGGCTAGCTTTCAAATGCATGGCAATTCTCTTGCCTCAGCTTCCCTAATGCTGGGATTACAGATGTGCTCTACCACGCCCAGCTCTAGGTGGATGTTTTGGATTTGGGCACCTGCACGTGAACGCACACGCATGCAGTTACGTTGCAGAAGAATTCCTGTTATATAGATAGGAAAGAAATAGTTCCCTCGGACTCTCATAGTCTAGTTATCCAATTTTATAAATAAACCCCTCCCTCAAATCCATGCACAGGAACAGAGTTGGAGGGCGGCCGTGGGTAGCCATGGCAGAACCCAGCTGGAAGAAGACGGATTCCAGTTGGGATGAGAGGAACAGTGGAAGAAAGATGATTGATGCTGGAGCCCCCAAAATAGGATGTGAGCATGAGAGAGCCAGCCTGGGTGGGAGGTGTGAACCATGGAGCCCAGGGTCCTTGGGTGTGAATATCCTCAGATCAGGGTGCATGGGGACCTGTGGCGCTTACCTAGTGACTCTACGATGCTGCGGCTTCCCGCTGAAGGGTGGTTCCAGGCAGCAGGCCTGGCTGTGGCACGTAGGCCATGAACACTGATTACCCACCCGCCACCAATACTTGTGCAGTGAGCAGCATTTCACACACTCCTGCTTCCAGTGGTGATGGGAGTTTGCTACCTGTGGGCTGATGTTGTGCCCTCCATCTTCTGCGGGGCCCCCTGACAAGGTGAGGAGGTCCCCTGTAGAGGCTGATCCCCGGCCTTGCCACCTGGGAAATAACCACAGAATCTGACTCCAGCCCCCTCCCCCCAAGGCAAGCCCCTCTTTGATGCTGTCCTTCAGTCTTCCCCTCCTAAGGGAGGCCTCTGTAGAAACTGACCCCAGCTCGTAGGCCTAAAGGAAAGACCCTTGGGGTATTGCTCTGATCTCTCTCTCTCTCTCTCTCTCTCTCTCTCTCTCTCTCTCTCTCTCTCTCTCACACACACACACACACACACACACACACTCAATGCACCATCTTGTCTTTTAGAGCCAGCCAAGAATCAAGAGCACTGAGAAGCCTGTGGCTGTCCCTTCCTCCCGGGCAGGGGGTTTCATCCATGCCCCTGGAGCCCTGCAGCATTGCCTCTGCCCCAGTGCATTTCACGGTGCTGGGACCTGTATTAGGAGACCCTGAGGCTGCAGCCACCTTGCTCCTGACCCCCTTGTCCCTCCCACTTGCTTCCACAGGGGCCAAGGCCTGGAGTCCCTAACTAGTACCCACAAGCTGGGTAGGAGGCTACTCTAGGGGCTAGGGGCGCTGCAACAGAGGGTTCACAGGTTGCAGAGGCGCCAGGGGGG